TTTTGAATATTGCATTGCCATTTTGCATATTGCATTTTAAATTGAATTTCGCTACCTATATGCTTCCATACCCTCAAACGTCTATTCTGGGAATATGTAAATTTGGTGGGCGGGTACTAAATTACGTGAAAAGGGTGGATTGCTTTACAGTAGCAACAAATGCTCATGTACAGCTATCCACTATAATTGACCTATCGGTAAGCCCCGCCCTTGAAGCAATGATTGACGGAGGGTGGGCGTGGTCAGCTCGAAATGCATTTTCAAAGCCGCACTGAATTTTGCTACAAATATCCCACTGCGTCATGATGAAAATGCAATCCTAAGTGTTCTAACTGTTAGTCTAAATGCATTTAGGACAAATAGCATTTAAATGATCATTATGCTACCATTTCTGCTTGGACATGTTACACATATCAAATCAATTTGTGTTATACATTTTCATTTTCATTTCGCAACTTATAAAGCGTTCAAATTTGCATGCACTTTACATATTAAGACTACTGTTGGAAATGGCAAATGTAAATTAAATAATTTAATTTTCATTTTACTTTTGCACCAAACTTCGCACGTATGGGTAATGGAAAATGTAAATTTAAATACAGAAATACATTGCCATTTTGAATATTGCATTGCCATTTTGCATATTGCATTTTAAATTGAATTTCGCTACCTATATGCTTCCATACCCTCAAACGTCTATTCTGGGAATATGTAAATTTGGTGGGCGGGTACTAAATTACGTGAAAAGGGTGGATTGCTTTACAGTAGCAACAAATGCTCATGTACAGCTATCCACTATAATTGACCTATCGGTAAGCCCCGCCCCCCTTAGTTACATTGCTTACTCGGACAAACTAACAATGACAGCTATCAGTGTGAAAACCTTGTCCCAAGATGTTTTTGATCAATTTTGGACACAGAAGGACCACTATTCAAATGGCAGATGACAACATCCAGGATTCATGTACCGCATGAACTGCATTTAATATGGAGAGGCACTGAAATGTAGACCTTTTTTTTAATGTGTTTTTGACCTACACTGTACATGACGTTAGAACAGTCAGGTTTGTAGCATGGACTCACTAACTTTAACGTTAACTAGTTTTAGCCAGAGATACCTTTCTGAAGCACAAGACGACATTAACGTTCTGCTTAAGCAAATGAAAATTGTAAATTAATGAGAGTATGACAACCAGAAAATTAACATTTTCGTCTTCATTGGGATTGGGGTTGAATGCTTAGGGACATTTTGCTCTGTTCTGTTTGGGTTTAGGAAATGGAATCAAATTAATTCAATTGCCCATCCTCTCAGGATTCATGGAATTAGTGTTATAAGTACCCCAGGCACATCGCTTTTCCATTTTTGTAGCATAAACACCATCAAACCAAAAGCTTCGGATCTTCCAATGGTTTTCTATGGCGCTGAAACCTAAAGATTTCCGAGTTCCGGTCCGCATGCAGCTGATACTTAACTGCCATTGGCTCATCTGCGTTCGAGGGGAGGGGCTTACCGATAGGTCAATTATGATAGTGAAATCCACTCACTTAACTGTAGGGGGCTCTAAAGTTGCAAAAACACACAAAACTACATTACTGTTACTTTAAGGTGTGGACACATTTAATGTTGTTCAGCGAATTTTCATGGACAAAAGTGACTTCTGTGTGAGTTCTTTGTGAGACACTACAAACAACAGACCTTTCTTTCTCTAATGTGACAGCACCTTTAATGTAACAGATTTAAACAAATCCCAAATGCTAGCAACCCACAAGAACGCCCTAGGAACCACCTATTAACACCCAGCAACTGCAGGGGAACATACTAAAAAACACTCAGAAAGCCGTTGCAACCATACAACAATGTCCTGGCAACCACCACAGCATTGTGGCGGCAAATTATGTAAAGGCAAGCACCACATTTCCATCAGAAAGTAAACAGAGCTACAAGAACCTAGATTATCCTTGTATTGAGTATTACATAAACGTTATGTTTTATATATTTGGAATAACTTTGTCATTCAAATGATCAGTTCTTGAATCAGTTTCTCAGCACAAATCGCTAACACAACCAGACAACTAGGCTGCAAAACCACACAGCCTTCACCATTTCCATGAAATGGCGTCATTACAGGGATGCCAAATCGAGACCCAAAGAGCCCCAAGGAAGCTTTGCACCACACACTGTAGTGTGGTCATTAAAGTCATGTTTCCGCTATGTAATTATCATCTTCTATCCTTGTTTATGGAGCAACTAAAGACTAAACTGATGCCAAATATATTTATAAACTGTATTTTGCCAGCTATTTTCCTAAATTCAAGTGCCAAGCTTGATATATTCATATGGCAGCACATTGAAAATCATGATAATCTGACACATGCGTAGGATTAGAGAATCATAACACCGAGGTGGTTTGAGCCAAACTTGGCTGCATCTAAACTTCCAGTGTCTTTATCTGCAATAACCCCCACATCTCACTTCCTGTTGCTCTTTTTCACCTTCTCAGAAGCGACACAGAGGAAGCGTGGAAAGCATTTTCACTTCCGCTATACAGCAGAACACATGCAGTCAGGGCAACATGCAAATGAACACACTTCAGGGCTCAACACGAAGGATGGCGATTGTAAAGACAGGGATGGACTTTTAACGTCTTACCGGTATATCAGCCCATATGAATTTAGATCTGTAATGGAATTACATTTTGGGATTTTTTTTTTCAAGAAAAGTTCATGTTTAATGAAAAAATATGAATACATTTTTCTGACACTTCAAAATATGTTTCTAAGAATAGCTTCTTTCACTATGACT